AAAAGGGAATGAGAATTCAGCATAAGACATCTTTTAAATTTTCAAAGAAGAAAAAAATTTAAGCCTACTTATATAAGGGAATGTTAATTCAGCATAAGGCATCTTTTAACTTTTCAAGGATATTGCTCGTAAAAATGTACCGCTAAATAGCAAAATATAAATTTTATAGATAATAAAAGAGCTTATATGCCTTTAACCTTTCAGAAAACTACTGAGTATTTTAAAAAAATTACTTTAGCAATACTCGACTGTAAACAGCTTGAAAATGTAAATATGATAATTCCTATACACAAGTGAAGGATACTTGTGAGAGAATGAAATAAAATTTTATGAATACTATTGAGAAACAACTGAAATTAACAGTCTATGAAATAACCGAAACTGTGGAATTGTTTCATTTTCTGTTTCCCTTTAATATTTCGTTCTTCTTTTCTGCGAATTTAAAAATGAATTTTAATGAACCAGAATTTAGAGCTTTTCGAATAATGTCTCTTATTTTTTATAACTTATATATGGTTTTTCATTCAATTTAAACCCAGTGCCAAAATAAAAGTTAAAAAATTTGCTCTTTCAAAGAGTATGCATCTCATGGGAATAATATAACACGTGCTTAATATTTTAAGCAATACACTCAAAAATTATTTTCTGCATCGCCCTTAGTGTAATTTTTTTATTCCGTTTTTCCTATGCTTACATAAATGTAACATTCATTTCAGAATATGGTTAGTTTCATCAAGAATATTTCTTAGAATGGGTGTTACGATAGAATATTTCCTAGAAATACAGCATCTCATATACTCTTTTCTTGAATAAAATGCAGAAAATGTAATGTCTCGAAATTTTCTTGAACCTGTTCATTATTCTGTTCAATTTCTCGCTTAATAGAGAAAAATTATGTGAATTTTGATGTTTCCATTTTTTCATCAATCCATTTAAAAGTTACCTTAAACAATCTTGTATAAAAAAACACAACTAGTTATTTAATGGGTATAGAGATTTTTCTGGAAACAAAAAATAAAAGATAAGGAACACAAGTCTTCCTGACAAAAAAAAAATTCAGTATTTAAAAGAGAACAACTAGGTGTTATATTATATTACGGTTATTTTATCACTTCAGTTATTGAACAATTTTATTGATAAACAACTAGTCATTTAGGATGTATACAAATTTTTGATGGATCCGAATATCTGAGGAAGATGTCTACAGGATCCAGGAAATAAATCCTCCCTTTTGGGAAAACCGTATCAATCCGCGATGGATATATTTCAAGCATGAAAAGAACGAGGGAGAAAAAAAGACTGCATTGTATTTTGTCTGGCTGTCATTATGAAATATGACGGTAGACCTTTTGACATTTGGCAGCGCGCTAGAAAAGCAAGCGTATTTTTCACACCTCTCTGTCCTTTAACATTCTGAAAAGAGAGAAAATTCTGAAAGTATTTGGCAGTAGTGATTTATCAAGATTCTAAGAGTAGTACGGTGCAGTAGCCATACGTAGAAATGCATTTAGGAGAGTGGCGAGTTTCTTGGCTGCCTAGAAGGTACTCCCGCTGTCATACACTGTGAATAAAATACGTTGCTCCAACTTTTTGTTAACAAGTACAATACTTCAGAAGAGTTCCAGTGTCAAAGTTTTGAAATTCTATTATGAGTGGCTGATTTTTTGAAAAGAGATGTTTCTTTTTCTAGTTCGAGATATAATTTGAGTTCCTTATCGCGGTAAAGACATTTCAAATAACAACATTTCTCAATCTACGTAAATAAGTTTTTTGAAACACAACCATTTCTTGAAATGAAACTTAAAAATTATGGTTATCGAAGGATTAATTTATTTTATGTTTTACATTCGATAGAAGAAAACTGAGCTGAATCTGTGTAAAATTCTATTATGAGTGGCTGATTTTTTTTGAAAAGAGAGGTTTCTTTTTCTATTTGGAGATATAATTTGAGTTCCTTACCGTAGTAAAGATATTTCAAAAATCCCAATATTTCTCAATCTACGTAAATAAGTTTTTTAAACACAACTATTTATTGAAATGACACGTAAAAATTATAGTATCGAAGGAATAATTTATATTGTGTTTTATAATCGTAAGAAGAAAACTGAGCTTAATATGTGTAAAATACTCTTATGAGTGGCTGATTTTTTTTTTGAAAAGAGAGGTTTCTTTTTTATTTCGAGATATAATCTTAGTTCCTTATCGTAGTAAAGATATTTCAAATCCCAATATTTCTCAATCTACGTAGATAAGTTTTTTGAAACATAACTATTTCTTTAAATGAAACGTAAAAATTATAATTATCGAAGTATTAATTTATATTATGTTTTATAACCGTAAGAAGAAAATTGAGCTTAATCTTGCATCCCTGTGTAAAATTCTATTATGAGTGGTTGATATATTAAAAAGAGAGATTTCTTTTTCTAGATCGAGATATAATTTGAGTCCCTTATCATAATAAATATATTTGAAATCTCAATATTTCTCCATCTACGTAAATTAATTTTTGAAACACAATTTTTTAAGAAATGAAACTTAAAAATTCTAATTATCGAAGGCATACTTTTATATTATGTTTTATAATCTCAAAAAGAAAATTTGTTTACTCTTATTCCTATATTCTTGTATTATTATAAAATTCTATTATGAGCAGCTGATTTTATAGAAAAGAGAGATTTCTTTTCCTGGTTCGAGATACAATTTCATTCTCTTATAATAATAAAAATATTTCAAATCTTAATATTTCTCAATTCACATAAATACGTTTTTGAAACATGATCTTTATTTAAATGAAACATAAAAACTATAATTTTTTAAATTTGTTTTTATATTATATTTTACAATCTTGGAAAAGAAAATGAGTTTAATCTGGCATTATTTAATTATGATATCGATTCTTTTTCAGAAATAAGTTTCTAGCGTATGTAGAATATAAAAATAATTCATATAAAATATCTCTTTAATGAAAAGTGCATATTTTTTTCAAAACTTTAACAATTTTATTTTAAATATTAATCTTATTACATTTTTTATGAAGCATTTTAAATATTTATAAATTCTTTGACATTTCCTTTATATGTTCTGACATTACTGAAGAAAAAAATGCAGGAAACAGTAAAAATAATCATAGTATCCATGAAAAATAAAATGGTAAATAACAAATTTCTATGAGAAATATTATATAAATAACATGCATGTGTGAGTGTGTAGCAAAAAGATGCCCCATTAGCATTTAGTCGCTCTAATGCAATATAAAATGTAGATGTAATTTGAAATAATTTACATTACATTTTTACTTTACAAGGATTATTAAATGCTTTGTGCATTCACTGTAGACTTTTTCAAGATTAATTTTATTATGAGACAGTTTTTCAGACAGACGTTTTGATGCAATCCTCAGTATTGCAATTTTGACATTTATATGTACAACCCAGAAAATATAATAAAATATTAATATGTCTAGACTAAATTTTTAAAAAAATTGCATTCATTCATTTATTAAATTTTCATCACCTACCAAATTTTACAAGTTTTTATGCACAACATATTGCAAAATTGTATATTAAGAAAATATATTGAAATCTAGGTTAGACAGCTATATCGATTTAAGTTCTCTCCTCGACATTTTATAACAAAATGTTAAATATTCTGAAATACTATTAAAGCTTTTTCAGTCTTTTAGCTTTAAAATTATTCAAGAGAAGAAATACAGAAAATAATATGAAAGAAACACGAGAAAAAATCATTCATTAGCATATAAGAAAAAAAAAAATTGGAAAAAACTTATTTATGGAATATTTTTCATGAGGTTCATTTAAATCTGTCATGAAGCTATTGCTATTACATAATAAAGAATAAATCATTTTTTACAACCTTTATTCATAAAATGGATTAAGGAAAGAATTAAAAAAATGTCTCCTAGTTAATTGACAATTTTCAAAATCTTTCTAAGCTTTTAATACAATTAACCATCCATTAGGCGTGGGCGATATTTTAGCATTTTAGTTTAATTAAATCTAGTTATAGTAATGTCCTGTTTCGCAGCAATATGATTGCTATTTTGGGACGGACCTCGCAATTTCGTAACGGAGTCAAATGCTGAGGGCTACACCTGATCTGACATCCCCTCTCCAAACTGCCGCGCCACACCTATCCCCTCCGTCCTGTTATCAGGCCTTGCACCCAATTTGTTGGGCCAGGGAGAGGTGGGTTTTTTGCACCACACCAGAGTGAGTGCGTTTGTCCTCCGTGATGACGTGCAACAATTGCACATACGCAGTGAATCTACAGTGAAATCAGGTTTCGAACATGGAGCCCTTCGCGCCGGAAGCCAATACCTTACCACTAGGCCCCCGCGGCTTCGGACAATCTCTCAGATCGCTAGGGTATATTTTGCGTTTTTTCTTGAAATTATTTGGGGATAATTCTAATCTTCATTGACTTTCGAAGAATGGAGATTAGTAAAATTTCGACCTTAAGCACAGATTACCAAAGACCGGAAATTGTAATTCCGATTTCTTAGATCTGAAAGCTGAATATCTCAAATCTTCTCCATTTGCTATTTTTCATTTTTTTACTTAATATTTTAACATGTATACTAATTTAAATGTTTAATACAAAATGGAGTTTACGTGTTGAGGGGATTTTTTTTAGAAACTGCAAATGATTGCCTTGAAATCTCCGAGACAAATGTCTCCCCTGAAAAGTGCAATATTTACGATGAAAACGATTGCAAGATATCAATTATATGCTTTTGTATCGTTGTGGAAATAAAATATTGTATCCAGGTATAAATATAGTTATGTGGTTAAATTTGAAAATTAAAGATTAAGAAATTGTACAGCAAAAAAGAGTATTTGATTTCAGAGATCACCAAGCCTAGTATGAGGCATACAATAATTAAGCCTAACGAAGACTTAATTATTTCATTATAGTATTTTATAAATTATTGCATATAGGTCTTAAAAACTCTAAATTCCTGATGATTTAATGTCACTCTTATTTCTGCAATATGTTAAAAAATTTACAAATGTAAAAAGCCTTTAAACTCATTTTTTCTAAATAAAAATTATAAAATGACTCTATATCTCTTACATATATTCAGAACTCTGCATGTTTATATATTATTACTGCCAAAAAAGTCGAAAATAATTATGTAAGTTATTTTCATAATTATCACTTCATAAAATCCAATTATATGTAACATAAAATCAATTATGACTTTTATTGTTTTCATTATGAACTCGTATTTTAGCTCGGGTCAAATAGAAATCATATAGAAGGGAAACATTCGCGTTGGGAAACATTCGTGACCCCTTCTCAATGTAAGACTGAAGATGTTAGTTAATGTTTGGCAGGCCTTTGAGGAGCCTTTGAGGAGAGCAGTAAGTAGAGGTCAAATAGGCTGAAAGAACCTATTTACCAAATATTACAGAATTTTAGTTTTAGTTACATTAATGTCACTTTTTGAAGCATGACGAGGACCGTTTGGGACTGCCCTCGTAATTTCGAACGGCAGTCAGATGATGAGGACGACATTTGAGCTGGCATCCCCCTCACGAAACCTCCTCATTACACCAGCGGGAGGATGCAAATATTTCAGGAAGAAGTTTTGATAGCTCCTTTGGATAAACAACAGGTATAAAATTTCTCTCTGTGAAGTACGGATCAATACGATGGTCCTCTCGTTTATTTCAGCATGTCGTGCATTAACCCAGGAATTTGATATGCTAACGCGTCTTTTAATTATATCGTCCATTAAATGACCGGTATGATCACCAGACTTATCCTCCTTTAAATAATATTTATATCGACCCTCGCATGGATAGTGATGTTGGCTCTCAAATATTGGCTGTTAAGGCCAGCTATGAAACGATGGGAGCGAGGGTATTCTTGAGCTCATATGTCGAAGAAATCAGACATGTGTTACAGTAAATACGTTGGTGCTTCTAAAACAAAGCTAACAGGAGCTCTCGCGGATGCGCAAATTCCCCGTGCGAATTCATTTCCGTATCTAAATAGAATAGACGACCACAACATTCAAATGCCATTGGTAGATTGATCTAGTTGTGTGGTAGCGTTTCGAAATCTCTGTTAGAAGATGGCAGCGTTGACGGATACACTGTAAGCGATTGGAGTACGAATTGTAATAAGGTTTTTGTGTTTAATGAAATCATCCCCAGCTGAAATTCATCGGCAACTAGTATAAGTTCTCGGAGCAAATGTAATGCCACGAAAACAGGTGTGCAAAACTATCGAGCACGTCCACCATATAAACATTGGAACACTCTGCCTACAGCTCGTATCTCGCACCAAGTGATTTTCATGAGGAGGCACCTGATAGGTCGCCATTTCAGAACCGATGCCAAAATGCAGGAAGTCGTCGTTACGTTGCTCCTCGACCTGGACCCTCATTTCTTCTTTACCGGTTTCGATAGATTGGTTTACAAATGGCACAAATGCTTCAACAAACATGGTGGCTATATGTAAAGGTAATCTGTATCAGTGCATTTCTACCTTTGTGTATCTCTTTGATTTCATGAATAAATCTTTTCTCTCGGATGACTTGTTACCTTAATTCTTGAACCACCTACTTATATATGACTGTGAGCTCCAAACTCAATCACTGTGCGTTGTAATTCATCACTCACAATGAGAATTTGCATTTTATAAAATAAAATAGCTTTTGATTGAAAATTCATTGTCTTGAGTAAAGGCAAATAGTCTTGGTTGAAGTTTCATGATCAGTCTTTAATGAATTATGCATTCATTTTTTTATTCAACTATAGTTCAGTTTTCAGACAAGGATGAAGATCTTTACTTAATTACTTCAAAAATAGCCAGATTATTAGTTTAACATATTTTGCACATCTACAAAGACATGAAATGCACAAAACATTGGAATCTCGCTATATCAAGGGGATTATATCTAGCCGTTTTAGTAATCAAATTTAGTTCTCACATAAGGTATGATATTAAATTGCAAGTATAAATTTTTGAGGGATCTGGAGAATGTAAAATCCATTCATATTCGCTTTGGAAAACTGCGAAGAAGCCTGAAACATAACAAAAATTGAACGTATTTAATTGTTTATAATAGTAAAGTACTAAGACATTGCTTAGGATAATTTTTAAGGGCAAATACCAGCGGAAAACAATTAATTCTTCAAACATATTTTCATAGATATAAAATAACCAATTATACCACCTTTGATGAATTATTTCTGCGTGTGAGGTTTAAGAAAATACGAATATGTGGAAAAGCACAACCTCTGCCGAGAAATATATAGTGCTATTCCATTATTTCGCTATATAATGCAGGATAGCTTGCTTTATGAAAATACGTAGTTAATATTAGAAATTAAGCAGTATTATTCTAGTTAATTTGTTTGTCAGACAGGATTATTCTAGTTAATTTGTTTGTCAGACAGGAGAATGGTAAAGAAACATAAAAGATATGTGTTAAATTATTATTTATTGAATATTGCGCGATATATAGGAAAGGAAATATTAGAATCTTATACCTTGATCAATGATATTCAAACTGATTAATGGTGGCCATTTAGACATTGAAGAATAATGATGTAAATGAAACGATGGGTCATTTATTTGAAATAATGGTGCTTTTCTTGCATGATGGTAGTTTAAGATAAATTAATAACACTGCAGTAATTACATAAGAAATGGACATCAAATTATAAGATTTCTAAGATAGGAATTTTATTGAAATCAAGAAATTCAGATAATTTTTCCCTCTCTGATATCTAATAATTATAAAATACTGAGCTAAATATATAAAATAAGAAATACATATTTTACACTCTTTTAGTTTTATTTTATATACACTATACCGAGGTTCCCAACCTGTGGTACGCGTAGCCCTGGGGTACTAGCCCAGCAAATTTTTAATGGTCGCAATCAAATCTTTAATGGTGGAAACAAGAAAACATAAAGGGATTAAAGAAGTTACAGAATTTTGTTTCTACAAGTGAATACTTGGTATTTAATAACTATATCACTTGAATAGTTAATTATTACAAAGTGTAATTTTTAGCTATTCTTCTAAGTTGAAACGAAATAATTACAATACTAATTTCATTTGTTTTGGTGTTGAAATAGTACTATTGTAAAAATGGAATAAAATGTCAAACCAAAAGAAAGTTCTGCAACTTTTATTAATTCGACACATATCACTTTTATGCTAACTTAAGCTAACCTTAACATTATTGAATGGGGGGGGTGAGTTGGATATGATAGTAAAGGGTACGAAAGTTATAAAAGTTTGGGAACCCCTAAACTATATGATCAAAAGAAACCAAACACTCCCGGATTCACATATTTTTTGGAAGTTCTCTAGATAGGCTGGAAGAATTGCCCTTCAACGTGTGCTATATAAAGAAGAGGCTTGAACTCCCTTTTTACGTTTAAGATTTGGTCACGAAGGCATTTAGAGAACCCACCAGAAAGTGATGAAGCAGAAAATGTTTTGGGCTGACCACTAGGGTGGATCGAAAATTCAAAGTGTAGATGAAATAATCGGCATAGGGTGCAAAAGTTGTCTTTTAAGTGTACTAGCATACATGCAAAATTTTGTCAACTTTGTGTAATATCTTCCGGTGCCCCAAGACACTTAAATATTTGCAAAATAACGATTTTTATGCAAATTTGGAATTAAAAATAAAAAATAAAAAATTACATTAAAGAAACGATTTTATAGGGATAAACGTAGAAGAGAGGGCGAAGGAATGATAAAAATACCAATAAAAATTGGAAAAATTATCGTAAGGGAAAAATATCACATTTTGTAAGTGTATAAATTTCGATTCATGTAAATGCCAAAAAGACATGAAAATTCCACTTGCTGAGCGATTGTTTATAAAAGATCAAAGATTAGAAAGGAAAATGGCTATTGGAGGAGTGGAAGTAATTGCGACTATAAAAAAGAGAAAAGGGAAAAAGAAAACAGATGGAAGACATAAGAATAAAACGTAAAATGGTTAAAACTGATGCTGATGCTGCTCATGCTCAATCAAAGGAACTACTTGAGCTCAACACTATGTCTTCGTCCTAGTATGAAGATTCGGATGTAATTACCTTGGAATATCAATCACAAAATCGTTTGGATTTCGTTACCTTAGCAAGGGAATGTGATCGATACGGAATTTCAGATAGAGCAGCTGCTTCATTTACCAGTGCAGTTTTTCAAGACATTGGAATTGTACACGAAGGAGAGACTTCGCAAGTTCTAGATAACAATAAAATTCGTAGACAGCGTAAAAAGCTTTAAAATGAAGTTACAGAGTCTACTAAGTCAACAATGTTCTCTTTTAACTGGATTGTATTTCGATGAGAGAAAA